GGGCTCTGTGCTCAGGGACTGCAGGGCGCACGTGGGCGGCACTCACGTCATGATCTCCTGGATGTTGAGGTCGGTGGTCCAGTTCTTCTCGATGCCCGGCACGTGGCCCATGCCCACGACACCCACCACCACCGAGGGGACACACTTCCTGGGCTCAGCTGTGGGGAAAGGGAAGCATCAGCCCCCGCCCGGCGGGCACGGCGACCTGGGGAGCCCCCGCCCGGGGCCGGCCGTCGCCGTCACCGTCGGAGGAGCGGGGCAGCTCCAGGCGCCGGGCGGCCTGCCGCAGCATGTAGGTCAGGTAGACGTCGCGCTCGGAGACGATGGTGCGGTGCAGGTCGGGGAACGCGCCGACCATCTCGGCCATCATCCGCTCCAGCAGGTCCTTCTGCTTACAGCGCTCCACGTCGTCCTTGCTGGGGGCAGAGGGCACGCTGCCAGCCTCGCGGGCACGGGGCGGCCGGCCGGAGGCCGGTGCTGTTGACCCAGGGCAGGGACCTCGGTACCCTCTTTGTTTGGGATCACGGCGGAAGGAAGGGGCGGGAAGGCCCTGTTTGAGGAGGCTCAGCCCGAGAACAAGGGGGAATGCGCCACGCGGCGGGGGGCTGGGCCCCGCTTCCTGGGTGGGGCTGCCTGCCGGAGGCCGAGGGGCCCTACCTGATGGGGTCTGACAGGAAGCACAGGCCCCAGGCCAGCTTGACTTTCTGCCAGAAGGACAGTGCGGCGATGGCCCTCTTGAAGGTGACGGGGATGGGCCGGTCGCCCAGGTGGAACTTGCAGAAAGGCACCTTGCTGGCCTGGGGAAGGGGCTGGGTGTTGGTTGGGGAAGCCTGAGCCCCGGGGCGGCTCCCGTGCCCTGAGCCCCCTTCCCGGCCGGACCCCCGGCCCACCTCCTTGAAGGCCTCCCTGAACTCGCCGCCAGGGGCCATGCCCAGCTGCTCGGTGATGTGGGCCGACACCTTCAGCAGCAGCATCTGCATGAGTCCAGACATGACCCCGTTCTGCAGGGGAGGGGACCGAGGGTCAACGGCCGCGTGGGCACAGAGCACAGGCCTAGCCTACGTCGTGGGGCTGGGCAAGGGCCTTGGGCAGGCGGCCACAGCCACGGCGGATGCTGAGGCCCCACTTCCCTCCAGCCGCCCCCGCCCAGGCCTCAACTCCCCCGCCCGTGTCCCTGAAGGGCACACGTCAGCGTGAGGGAGCGGCACTTGGAGCCGGCAGGCAGGCTGGAGCGCACTCCGCGGCCA